GGGAGGGAGGGAGGAGGGGTAGTAGAGAGAGAGATTTTCTTTTTTAAAGAAAAGTACTTAATGACACCAGCCTAAAGAACACTGATAAATCCCATTTTGGGTATCAAATACCCACAAATGACCATACCTATTCAAGATATGAGAAATCAGTTAATGCATTGAATACTGCACTAGTTTTTCATTTTGTTAAATGTTCATAAATCAAATACTCACATTTTCAAAACTCATCTCTTCAATGGCATTTTTAAATAATGGTAAAAGTAATTCTATAGAACAGGTTGCCAACTCAGCTTCTTTAAGTGTTGCCCCCAAATCAATCTTTTCATCATTTTGGATGTCCTGGTCCAGGCTAATTACAAATGCATAAATAAAATTTAAGTTAAATCTATCACATAAACTGGTTATGCTTTTTATATAAACATAGCATGGACTAAATATTACAGTCCTATAAATTTTTCTACAATATGCAATATTAAATTGTCATTTAAAAATGTGTGCTTTTCTAAATATTTCTATACTTTTTCTACACGATGTATACACAGAAAGATAATTTTTAGAATATTTAGACATGTAAAACACAAAGATCACTAATAGCAGCATTTAACTGTGCTGTTTGATAATTATTCAAAATCCCCTTTCTGGTTTACAAAATGAAAAGTGTAAATATCTTTTTTTCTTCTCCAACTTCTTCCTCACTCCAAATCAAGAGACTTGTCTTTCTAGACCTTATTGCCAAATATTTCCATGAAATTCATTGTCCTTCATAAAACTGTCCTTCATCAATGAATGAAAAAGCTAAACAAATGAAACACAAACTAAAGTTCTACAGGTCTCCAAAAATCCTCCACATTTGGCTTTAATATACATTTATTACCACTTGAAAGTGAAATATCTGATTGCTTTTGTAAGAATTTTTTTTTTCTTTTGGCCATGCTGAATTCAGGATGCTTCTCACAACCTTCATCAGCCACAAGATAGCCTTGACCTGTCTTTATCTGTACACACTCAAAATTTATAAAATGGGTATACACAACTTTGAAGAATAGCCCAGAGTTAAAGGATACAACACTTTTAGAACTCCCAGAAATGAAAGGTCATAAAGAGAGGTTAAGAGAATTGGTTAAGTACAAAAGTTCCAAAACCATTCTATGAAATTTCGGCATGTACAGATAAAGACAAATCAAGACTGTCTCCTGGCTACCAAGGATTTCATTTAAAGATGCTCCTAAGAAATGCTATATCACCATTACTCTTTAACAGGAAGGAAAATTTTGAGTCAAAAAGTCTAAAAGTTAAGACTTTCAGCATAAAGAAATGCCAATAAAATTTAAAAAGTGCTTTCATATCACCTGATTCAAATATATGCTATGTCAAGATCATTGTACTGTCATGTGTAACTAATTAAAACAAATAAAAAAATTTTTTTAAATAAAAAAAAAAGAAACTTTGAGAAACTATTTCACTTACATTTTACTTTTATGTAACAGAATTTATTTGGATAAAAAAAATCTGTGTAACCACATTTAAGGGAGTTTTTTTCAACATTTATATATAAAATTCCAGGTGATAGGAAAGGACTTTTTAAATTTTATTGATAACATTTTCTTTTCTTCACAGAACATAATATAGTGACTTGTTAAAAACTTATGGCAGCTTACAGGCTATGTCATAAGGTAGAGATTTTCTTCTTAAGGTTTCAAGGGCCTAAGAAAATCATGGCTATAAAAGATATCTGTCCCATATAAAAATTACAGAAAGTCGAGAATTATTATATATAACAAAACAATGTTATTTTCAAACAAGTTAAATTAGAAACTCAACTATCCTATCCATAATGAGAATAATGGTTATTTTAAGACTGATGTTTTGGGGAATAATGATTCCTATAAATAACAAGTGCATTTCCCATTCTAAATCAGTAAAATATGATAAATATTTGCAATATATTAAATGATAATAAATCAGTACTTATGAACTACATTTTCAGTCCCATCTTATTTACATTTATATTTTCATTTGCTTTAGTTAAGATTTACTTTACAAATTTCTAATAGGTTAGATTTTAATTTTTAATTGTATTGTAATTTTAAAAAGCATAGCTAAGTCCTGCTAAATGAATACATCTATATTCAGATTAAATCTATTTTAAACAATGAATAATAAATTTTAAGATAAATATTTTTGAAATAATATTGCATTTGGCTTAAATGATTTACATTGTGGACAAAAGATGAAACCCTGAAATCAGAATATTAGAGTTCCTCTCATAATGATGAGAATACCAGCTGAGACGACTTTCACTAGTATGTCGTGATAAATGTTCTTTCTCTGATGGACTTCTGAGATTGGAAAAGAATTCTTCTGAATGACTTCCATCATTTCTAGGCTTCTCCATAAATTCAGTAAGCAGATTTATAGATGGCTTCAATAACAACTTCACATAAGCTGAAAGCTAGGAAACATTTTAGTTATTAAACTTATTATTTAGTAGAGATTACCCTATAAGATAAAGAACCTAATGATATATAAAAGAACATTTCTAAAGACAAATATCAAAATTATTTAACTGCTATTCATGGTTATATTAGTCCAAAATTGCATTACCTAACACTGTGGGCAGCATAGGTTTAGGTCCTCAAATACAAGTTGGGGTAACCAGATCATAGGACACTTTTGAAATGAAAGCATCTGACAAAAGCTAAATTATTCAAAAGAAGATGGGACCAAAGATGTTCAGTACATTGTCTAATCACAAATAAAGTCAGCATCCTATACCAGATAATCATTAAGCATTTTTCTTTTCTTCAAAGCAATTATAATTGCTGCCATTTACAGCACAGTGACTGACCTCATAAACATAATCTCTCAAAAAGCCTCACAAAGTTGCTATTAACATCCAAAGTCTACAGATTAAAAAAAAAAGAAAAGTCTTAGAATGGTGAGCTTGCTCCCCAAGACTACTAGCAAGAAATTGCTAGAATTATGTTTTGAATGAAAAGCCTCAAAATGATAACGTATGAATAAACATAAAAATCAACACAGCAAAAATATACAAACTTGCCTTAATTCCGTCAGATTTTAATTCAATTTATATCCAAAAGATGAAAAGTGTTCTGTACAGGGAAGTAAGGGATAAGAATGAGCTACTTGAAGGTACACACTACAAATCTAAAGAGCGAGCAGCAGTAACTAGACTACTAAAATCTAGTGTGCGAGAAGTTGTGAAACGGATTCATGGTGTAACACAAAAAGCCAAAGGACAGTGAATGTCAATTGGCAGGAATCTGGGAGACTTTCCAAAGGAGGTGCAACCTCAGCTGAGTCCTACAAAACAAGTGTGAATTGACCAAACAGGAGCAGAAAAAGGCATTCTCCGTGGGAAGTCCAACACTGGAGCAAGAAAATACCACAAGTTCTCATTCATTTGTGGAAACTAAAAAGTCAATCTCAGAAAAATGAAATGTTATAGTAGTCGCTAGAGACTAGGGAGGATAAGGAGGAATGGGCACAGAAAGGTTAGATAAGGGACACCAAAACACAGGAAGAACTGGTTGTTTTCTTATAGCACAGTAGGATAACTGTTATTTATAATGATTTATGATATATTTCATAATAAGAATATAAAAGTTGTAACATATAGAAATGGTTGATGTTTGAGGAAATCAAAGTGCTTATTACCCAAATTTGGTCATTTTACACTGTATAACATGTATCAGATTATAATACTATATCCCACAAAAATGTACCGATATAATATCTGTTATGGTTTGCATGTGAGGTATCTCCCAAAAGCTCATGTGTGAGGTAATGCAAGGTTTAGAGGTGAAATGATTGGGTTATGAGAGCCTTAACCCAATCAGTAAATTAATAACCTGGTGGGATTAACTCAATGGTAGTTAAAGGCAGGAGGGTTGAGGCTGGAGGTAAGACATTGGGGGCATGGCTTTGTGGTACATATTTGTACTTGGCCAGTGGAGTCTGTCTGTCTGTCTGTCTGTCTGTCTGTCTGTCTGTCTGTCTCTCTCTCTCTCTCTCTCTCTCTCCTTCCTGATAATCATGGGTGCTGCTTCACTCCACCACACTCTTCTGCTGGGGCCCCAAGGAATGGAGCCTGCTGTCTGTGGATTGAGACCTCTGAAACTGTTGAGTCCCCAAATAAACTTTTCCTCCTCTGAAATTGTTCTGGTCAGGTCTTTTAGTCACAGCAGCAGAAAAGCTAAAACAATGTCTAATAAGAATAGTAATAAAAAGAGCTAGAAACACGAGGGACCATGACTTGCAAGAGGGACAGGGAGAGGACACGAGGCTGGATACATTAAATGGGGTGACTGCTAGCCAAGCTCAAGAGCTCAGATTTTTTTTTTTTTCTTTCTTAAAAGGTAACAGACTATGGGCTGGGATTGTGGTTCAGCAGCAGAGCACTTGCCTCGCACATATGAGGCACTGGCTTCTATCCTCAGCACCACATAAAAATAAATAAATAAATAAAAGTATTGTGTCCATTTACAACTTTAAAAAAAAGGTAACACAAATTAAATACATTTAAGATACCTGTAACATTATGCATCAGATGAGAGATAAACTGCTTTGAAATGGCCTTTCCCCAACATTCAGTTACAGTCTGATAACTGTTATTTTCAGTAAATAACAGGCATCATTCACCAGCCACCTAAATTCAGAGCTACCCATGGAAAACCACGTACTTTAATTATAGCCACCCCCAAAATGATCATGATTGGCCCCACTTAAAGATAAGGAAAACTGAAGCCAAGAAGGTCCAGTGACCCACCCAAGATCACTAGGCGGTTAAATGGTAGAGCTGGAACTGAATGCAAGTCAGCCTCTAGCACTTTCCATAAGCGAAAAATCCACCAAGGGATGGGACCTAGAGGATCCTGAAGAAGGAATTATTTCCTGAGGCTACCAGAAATATGTCTCACTTTTGGAGCTTCAGAGCTTTCCACGATCTCGCATAAAATTTGAAGGGCACTTAAAATACAGCCAAATGATTTCTGAAACAAATAGGGCCATTCCCGGGGACCCATTCTGCACCAGCCCGCCTCGCACTAAGATCTGCTACCCTTTCTAGGAGTCAAGTCTCGCCGCCCTTTCCCTGAGGAAAGTGGAGGGTAAATGCAAAAGCAGACTAAAATCCAGCTAGGGTGAGGGCGAGATTTTTCTCTTACAGGACCCCACTGGGCCCCTCAGACAGCCAAGAGACCAGTCAAGCTTCCCACCCAGAGCCCAGGGGCGCGCCTCAGCCGCTGCTGCTGCGTTAGCACGTCGCGGTGACGTCATCCCGCCGCCGCGGTGAGAGGGTCAACGGGGGCTGATGCAAGTGTAAAGCTCGGCCTACGTACCTGTGCTCCCCAGCTCCGGATCAGCGAGGAGGGAGCAGGAGGCAGGGAATAGTGGAGTAGGTGGAAGGCTA